AAGAACATCTCACGTGCTCATGCTCGACAATACTCAGTTCAATTACACATTCTCTGACTGCAATTCAGTTATTCATTGTTCCGTCACGTTGTGACCGTCTAATATATACCAGACTATCCCAATCTAATAGTCTCCCGACAATTCACGAAGGAACAGCATATTTCAAGAAGGAGGTGGCATGATACTAGTCACGTGACCTCGCTGACGCAACACTGCCCCCTCCTTAGTACTGTTCGTCCCGAACAATGGCCACTTACATTAAACCAATAACAATTAACAATAACTTAATTAAAAGTACAGAATTACAAACACAAAATTACAATTCAACAAAGTCTCTTAATTTTACGGGACGTATCTTCTTCCGTACTGGTCTCCGTCTCGTTGGCTTCTGCTTCACGTGGGGTTCATCTGCTTCATCAGGAAATGTCCTATCGTTGATAACAATCACATGAGTGGTAGTAACTTCATCAAGACCTTCACCGTTTCCCTTCACAAAACTGAGTAGAGTTTCTTCTTCGATGGTGGCTTCTTCAGGTGGCACGTCTTCAGCAGCATCATTTGTTCTGTTGTCCTCTTCGTCCCAACTGAAATGTCCTGGACCATGATAACGCCAAAGCCTGTTGGCATGCACCACATTTGGCTTACCTCGCCGACCACATTTTACTATGTCATATGGGCCTTCCTATGGAGAAGACAACTTAGGAGACTTCCCTTTGGTCTTCCTTGGATTATACAACCATACCTTATCTCCTGGTACAAAGCTGACTTCAGTGGATCTCTTATCATAAGATAGCTTCATAGAATCAGCAGACGTTTTCAAGTTTGAACGCACTTGATGGTGAATATCATCCATCCTTTCCGATAACACTTCCACAAACTCTGACATATTCACAGGCAACTCTTCATAAGGTGGGCATCCCTTATGCTTGGGTCCCCTTTTAGCACTACATATACTGCATGTCCTGCACCATTCTTCCACATCTCGCCTCATACCTATCCAGTAAAATCTTTGTCGTAGGTGACTCAATGTCTTCTTAATTCCGAGATGTCCTCCTGTTAAAGTATCATGGGATTGACGCAGTACAACTTCCCGTAACTTTCTCGGTATAACCGTTGGCCAAGTCGTCAATTTCCCATCTCCGGAGAAGAATACCATCTTCAAGCTTTAACTGCTCCCATTGTGCCCAATAGTTCTTTGTCACAGGGCTTAGACTAGACACCTTCTCCCAAGCAGGGAGCACA